ATAATCGATTCTACTTACAAACTAAAACAATACATATCACACTTTGAACATATTATATAAGACACAATCCAAAATTTTAGCTTACAACATAAAAAACGTATGTTCTCGCACAAAGTGCGGGTCAAAATCTAGTACATTTTAAAACTATAATTTTTAGTGTTGTTTACCCTTACAAAAGGATTGAGAACAAAACCACATAAACTAGTCAAAAAATAACAAAGCAGTTACGTAAAAAAGCGAGAGAGATCCAATGGCGAAGAAAGAAGATTCTTTGAAACTTCTAGGCTGTGGGCCTGGGGACATGCATGAGTCGTCAAGTGTTAAAGTTTTTCAATTTCTGAATTTATTATCTTTAAAATATATTTGGATCGTGAAAACCAAGGAAAAGTAAAATAGTCCTTTTGTTCTTGCCAGGAAAAAAACTAGCCAAAGAAGTTAGAGCCTAGAGAAAAAAGCAAGTGAGATCCAATGGCAGAGAAAGAAGAACGGGTGAAGCTTCTAGGATTTTGGGCAAGCCCTTTCAGTCGTAGAGTCGAAATGGCTCTCAAACTCAAAGGCGTGCCTTATGAGTACTTGGAGCAAGATATAATGAACAAGAGCCCTTTGCTTCTTGAGCTAAACCCGATGTTCAAGAAGGTTCCTGTTCTTGTCCATAAAGGTAAAGTTTTACCCGAGTCACATTTGATTCTCGAATACATCGACCAAACATGGAAGAACAATCCAATTCTTCCTCAAGATCCTTACGAGAAAGCCATGGCCTTTTTGTGGGCTAAATTCGTTGATGAGCAGGTAAATCTTATACCAATTTCGTTAATAGCTAATTGCATATATAGTTGATTTCTAGAAACCACCACTGACTTTAATTTCAATACATTTTATATATAGATTAAAATCAGGATTTTGATTTCATTTGTAAGCTATGAATTTCCGAATTGTGAAATGGCTCCGCGATTCCGCACAACTTTTACCAACCATTCAATGAGTCCCAAAGAGAATATTAATAACCCAAAAGAAAAAAGAAATATGTCAATCCCAAATTTTTGTAAAAT